CTGATTATAAATACTTATAAATGTCATGAATGCATTACAATCCTGTCAAACCCTTTGAAGTATGGAATGCCCATACATGTAGGGTAGACTATATTGAGAGTAGTGTTAGCTGGACTGTAGTTTATATAAAAACTGTTAGAAATAGCTAGCCAGTCACCTCTCAGACTATTGGTCTACAGAATAGTCACAAAGTGGAGTGGAATAAGTTTACCTAATGTATTTATAAGTATTGTAAGGAGTTTATTTAGAGAGTATGAGTTGTAATAATGCATGATTGATGATGTCACTGGGAGAGTACAGACAACAGGTATGGATTATAGTGATACATCATTTGATGTCACACTCTCATTAATTGTTATGATAAGGCATTCTTAATAAACACACTAAGTAAGATTTTAATGAACAATAAGTAAGAACATAGTCTCGTGTAGTCAGACCCATCCCCCTTTTTGATAATGGGGGAAGGGTCTGGCTACGCGAGACTAGTAAGAACACAATAAGCAAGGTGATGATGACATGTGAAAAAGGTGTCAGGAAAATTTGCAAATTTTTCAAAAAAAAATTGAGATCTACACCTATTGAAAATTATTATTTATATACACTTGTACATATTACGTGGTGGCTAATGGAACACTATACCCATCAGTGGTACCAGACCCTGTCTCCCCCGCAGTGAGGCAGGGTCTGGCCAGCGAGACTATATAGTAGCAGCTATGCACTATCCAGTGTTACTTTAAATAATAAAAGAACAAAACAATACTAATGACAAATTTTCACAGCTAAACACTATACACTATCAACATGAATCAAAATAACAAGTGGCAAAACAATATACAAATTATAAAATTTGGCAAGTGAAATAAAACAGCAATTAAGCATCAAGATTAATATTATAATCAAATCCCAGTTCATTAATAGCTTCAATCCAGTCCTCACCTAAAGCTATTGCTGCATCAGCATAACTGCCTCTTACAGCAATGAATGAGCTTAAGAACTTTTGACAGTGCTCCTGCACTTGAGGTAACTTCCTCTTAAAATTAAGACTAGCCTTGAATTCAGCAACAAAGGCATCCATTGAGCAAGTTTCTTTGACTTGATCAGTAATGAGACGAGCTGTATATAACTGGTCAGCAAGATCTGAGAGAGATGACTTCAGAGAATTGAGTGCAGCATGATGAGATACAAGAACATCATTAATGATTCTCTTAACTCTTTCAACATCAACAGTAGCTGGTACACCTAATAGAGGTAAAATTTAATACACCAATACACCAACTGTTACACACATGCATCTGTTACAATGTACTTACCAGGTCCTACATTTGATGATGCAGTATCTTCAGTAATTGTATTAAGATAAAGAAGGAGATAGATATTAAAATAAATAAATAATTGAAATGATCTATCTATTACTTGTTATTCTCAGTGATGCCAGAATATATATTGTAACAGGGCGAACCACACCCATCAGTGGTACAGAGTAATTTAGTGTAGGAACAGCATCAGGTGATCCATACACTGATATTGGACAAGATGGAGGAAGAGGATAATCTTTGTCACCAAAATTATTAATATCATCTTGATACAACTGAAAATAAAAGTTATAATGCTATACAGTATACAGTATAACATACCCTGCAAGGTTTAATATGAGGTTTAATACTCCATCCAGTAAATGGCTCATCTTGTGGAGCATTTAAATTCAATTCAACAAAACCATCAGGAGATGCAATATGGAAGTAAGTATAAGGTCCTCGTTTAGCTTGTGGATATTCTTTTTTAATAATCTGTATAAGCAACTGATAAATAAACCAGTGATGAGTTATAGTGAATTACCTCAAGAAGTGCATTTAATTTCTTAGCTGCAGTGAATGTCACTAAATCCCCTACATCATCTTTCTCATAATAAACTAGTCCAGCATAATTTGTAGCCTCTTTCACACCAGTGGAGTGTACTTCTAAGTAATAGACACATAGTGTGATTAATAGAGCTAGAGTTTATGCATTTACCATCTTTAGAATCAGCCTGTGGTTTATCCAATACTTCAATTTTGTTCTTACTCTCAAATGCAGCAACTGGTGATGCTAAGGGACTAGTAACTGATCCTGTACTAACTGGTATGCTATTCTCATCAATTTGGTCTTCCTTTCCATCAATTATTTCTACATGCACAGGATCTTCCTCTCGCCCTCCCTTTTGCTGTTGTAGTTCCAATTGTTCTGGTTGTTTTTTTGACTCCCTCTCTGCTTTTCCTCCTTGTTGGTTTCCTCCTTTTTGAAGATTACCTTCCTCTTGCTGTTCATTTTGTGACTGTGATTGATCTCCACTCTGCAACTGAGCATCTTGTTCCTGTCCCTCTTGTCCCTCCTCTCCTTGTTGTCCATTGGTTTGTTCATTAACTCCTGGTTGCTGTTGCTGGGCTAGTACTGTCAGTGCATCTCCTCCTTGAGGCTGTTGTCCTTCTTGTGACTGCTCTCCTTGGGTTTGTGGGTTAACTACTGGTTGTTGTTGAGGGACTGGTGCATTTCCTCCCTGAGCTGGTACTACACCTGCTCCTTGAGATCCTGTTCCTTGTTGCTGTTGACCTCCTCCTCCTCCTCCTCCAGTCATAGATACTATCAGCAAACCCAGTATGCACACCAAACAGAAATCTTTACGCTCAATGAATCCATACCCACCATTAGAGCTA